AAGTCATTTTTCCATTTTTTTTTTGTTCCCATACTTTTTTTCCTAAGTTATGGGTTTAGGTATTTTGTGAACCGAGATACGCTCTTCTCATTTCACAAAGCATCGGAGCAATTTCTTCAGCAAATCATGGCGATTTATGTGGCTGCTCATTACAAAAATTCCCCTAATGATTTACAGGTACAGTTTACGATCTTCCTTTGATATTAGTAGATACCACTATCGTTTTAATTGTATTTCTAGATGCTGAGTGACGCTCCTGCTCACCACCTTTTTGCGCTGATGTCACCCGTAAAAGAGGATCAGTCGTCAATACCTGAGGTTCCTTTTCTTCACACCTTTAATGTCATTTCTTTTGAAAGTATTCATGTATTTTAGGTATTAGCGCTGGCACAAGTTTGTTTGGAAGGTAATCTTTCCGAGAAAACCGTGACAGATGCTTTAGGCACTGGAAAACGTGCAGCTGGTGACTTACTTCCTTGGACAATCTCGCAGCAGTTTATGGTATCTCTCATCTATCATCGAGCTCTATTTATGCTTATTTTCAACTTGTAGGACCACGAATTTCCAACTTTATGTGGCGGTAGAGTTGTTCGAATAGCTGTGCACCCGGATTTCCAGTCTATGGGCTATGGCACACGAACTCTTGAGTTGCTAGAAGAGTATTATCTAGGTCATGTACCTTCCATTGAGGAAAATGTCAAAGAAACTGTCAAGACAGTGAAGGTTTGTTTTGCTTTTCTATTGTCTGAACTGCTTTCTTAAATAGATTGAAGTACTGATTTTGATTTTATGTATTATTTCCATTCTCTATCATCTTTTTGGATAAAATTTCACATTTTGCAATTCTTTCACAGCTAAATTTTGTTCAACGATGATATGTCTGAAGAAAACAACCTTATCTGTTTTTCATAGTGCCGTTTAAACCATCCAAATTTATTTGGTTGTGAAATTATAATGATTATCATACTTTCAAGCCAGTTTTCAGGATGGAAGCACCGTAGCTTTGCTAGAAGAGCAGATTGCTCCTCGTACCGATCTCCCGCCATTGCTAATGCGACTGAGTGAAAGAAAAGCTGAACGACTTGACTATTTAGGTTTGTTTTCAATGCATTGTTCATCTCTACATAGTTAGCACCTGTTTTTAGGAGTGTCGTTTGGTTTGACACTCGACTTATTGAAGTTTTGGAAGAAGAGTGGTTTTGTCCCTGTGTATCTCCGTCAAACCCCTAGCCCTCTTACGGGAGAGTACACGTGTGCTATGTTGAAAAGGCTTGATGGTGAGTTCTGTTTTACAACGAGTAAAAAACAGTCTTTGCGGCAAGCCTTTTTCCCCTCCCCTCCTCATAACCTTTTTAATCCTTTCGTCCAAGTTTTAGCATTGGATGAAGCCGACTCGTCTCCGTCCTGGTTAGCTGCTTACTTCCGCGAATTCCGCAAGCGACTCCTCTCCCTTCTGTCGTTTGAATTCAAAAAGTTACCGATTAGTCTTGGCCTTTCCTTGTTGCAAACTCGCAACAAAGAAGTTCTAGCAGCTTTGCAAAGTGACCGGAAAGGTTAGTCCTTTATTTGGAAAACGAGACCAAACACATTAGCGCGAAGTAATATATCTTCCAGTTATCACTCGGGAGCAGCTTTCGATGTTCTTAACCAATGTTGATCTCAAGCGTTTGTCGGAATTTGCGCGCAATCTGGTTGACCACCAGATGATAACAGATCTGCTGCCAACTATCTCTCGGCTTTATTTTGGAGATAATCTAAGGGAGAATGTAAGTCGTTAGGCTTCCTCATAAAAAAAAATTAATTTTCCGTTTTCAGTTCTCATTTCATTTTCCAAATGATTTTTATGGTAAATTGATCCTCCATAAGATGCTTGTTCTTTTTTTTATACTGGTCTAACACATAGCAGACCCATCAATCTTTCAAAAACTTTTTTAGGTGAAGTTATCGGCAGCTCAAGCTGCAGTATTGTTAGGCTTAGGACTACAACATAAAAGTGCTGAGGATGTGCAAGAAGAATTGGATCTCCCTCAAAGTCAAGTAAGTCTAAATTCTTCAGTGTTAGTTTTTCAATACTGTTCTTCCTTTAGGTGCTTGCATTCCACTCAAAGACAATCAGGAAGTTATCGGATGAGTTTGATGCTATGTGTATGGAGTCATTGCGTGAGCTCCTTCCCGATAAGACTCACAATCTTGATAAAGAGGAGCAAGCGGCAGCTGTCGCTCGCTTAAAGCCGTTAGCTGAAAGCTTAGAGGTTTGTGTACAGAAAACCATATCTGATTAGTCGGTTACTAGGCAGAATTTCTTTCTTCAAGGATGAATTGAATAAAGCTGCTGAGGAGATTAGAGCACGCCAGCTGAAGGACAAAAAGGCTCTTCTGGAAGAAACTGATGGCGATTTGTCGCAATATGCTATTAATGTTGATACTAAGACCTTAGCCAAAGTAAGCGCGATTCGTTTTCGATTTGTGGCTTTATGAAGTGATCTATAGGAAACTTTCTCCTGTTTAGGCAAGCGATATCAAAATGGTTTACAGTCGACCACTGAAGAGTGGAAAAAGGTGAGGGGTTCTCAGTAGTCGCAGTTTCTTTCATTAGTAGTCTTTATTTTAGGGAATCAAAAGAGGACGGTGGACCGAAAAAGAAGAAGAAGATGTTTAAGAAAAAAAGGTTGATCTGATTTCCTAGTAGGTTGCTTTTTTGTACTGAGGTATTATGCAGGTTTTATTCTTCACTGCTATCATTTTGCTTATGAAAGTTTTGTTGATGCTTTGTTGTACTATTGTTGTTACTGTTGATTTTATGTTGTTAGAAGTCAATCTATAAAATCTTTATATTAATATTGAGCTGCAGAAGAGAATCACAGACACGTATCGATCATATTGGTCCATTCGAGACAGGCAAGAAACCAAGTTCTTTTTGGTTATGCCGTCATCCAGAGGGCCTGAGTGTTTTTATTCTTTGACGTAGTTGGCGGGGAATAGTGCAACTTTGTCGCGTAACCTTCCTTGCCACCAACCGGAATCATCTGAAGCGGTGGTGTTTTTATTACTATATATGTTTTCAAGTATTTTAAGAATTCTTACGTTTCTGCATTAGTTCGATCTCATCGCCGACTGAAAACGATAACTCGTCCGTGTCTTGCGCATCATAATCGT